CCGTATGGGTGGTGTAAGCTTTTGCAAAACTTAAGACATTTATCCTAGTCACCTCCCACCTTGACTATTGCAATGTGCTCTACATGGGGCTGCTCTTGAAAAGCACCCAGAAGTTCCAGTTGGTTTAAAATGCAGCAGCCCATATGATTTTGTGCAGACCCAGGTGTGCACCTGTGTCATCTCCCTTGTGGGTTGCAGATTTGCTTCCGGGTGCAGTGCAAGCCTTGGTTGTCATTAAAGCTCTTTATGGCCAGGTTATCTGAAGGACCATCTCTTCCTGGTTACATCCACCTAGACCAGAGAAGCAGGGAATGTTGTGGGTTCTAAAGAGATACATCTAGCGGAACCCAGGAGAAGGGCCTTCTCTGTGGTGGCTCCATCCCTTTTGAATATCAAATCTGTGGGGATTAGCCTGGTCTCCCTTCCATACGCTTTCTCAAGGCCTCAAAGATCTGATTTTGCCAACGGGCCTGGGGAACCCAGAGTGGGATGGAACTCATCAAATGGCTTGTTTGATTGCCTCTTGTCGTTGGAGGGGTGGTGGTATTGTTTTCACTCTTTTTTTAATTGAGTTTTTATTTTTACTTTTTGTAAGGTGCCCAGAGTCTTTGAAAGTAAATGGGTGGCCATATAAATTATCTAAACACTGTAAATAAATAAATCCCACCTTTCCAGACCTTAGTATCGCTGTCTACCCATGATTGTGACAGCCATTAACCTCTGTAAAATTTATATCCATTTTATTCTTGAACCATCCTTTCATTTGCCTAAAGTCCAAGCAAGACCTTAGCTCTAGCCTTTCCTAGTTAGGAAGATAGTTTATTCCCAGAAATTGCAGTTCTATGTAGGCCAATGATTTATCAAGATAATTTGTCAAGAATTAGCCTTTCCTTTCCCCCCCCCCTAATGTTGTGGTCAGTGAATACAAAAGATATGCAATACTTTTTCCAAATGCATGGAATATTCACTTTTTTGTTGTTGCCACATAGGTATATTAAGGTACCTATATTTAGATTTTATTTAATTTGTGGTGCCATTTCTTTCCCATCTATTTTTGGGTTATTGCCTCAAAAAATAGAAATATCTGTCTGGGACTCTAGTACTCTCCTCTCCCTTAACAGCAATGTGTTAAAAAGGCTCAGCCTACCCTCAAAGGACTGCTGGAGGAAGTGGAGTAATTTTAGTTGCATGACATTGCACCTTCGCACAAAGAACACCCTGCAAGCCGTTGTAGTTTGCAGGTTCTTAGAAAACCTGTGCTATGGTTGCAAATTGATCAGTGAGCTCTTAGGCTGATGGACAGTCAGCTCTTTGGGTTTAATTCATAGCTTCATGTCTTATTTCTGCTTTTTCTTGCTCTTCCTGTTTTTTTTTCTTCACTGCTTTTTTTTCTCCCCCCTTGGCATTCTGTCTCATTTCAGAATAACAAAGCCGATGAATTGTCTAGCCGAATTCAGAAAATGTTTGGCAATTATGAAGAGATGAAAGAGCTCATCGTCAACCAGTTCTATCAGAATTTCATAGGGATCCCTACAAGTGTCATGCCTCTGTTCCCACCGTCTAAAGCCGATCGCCCTCTCTTCTCTGAAAAGACTGGCGCCCCATTCCAGAACCACAGCCACCACCGCAAACACGGGGGAGCTCATAGCTCGGAGGTGCCGTCTGGAGGCAGCTCCCACCCAAAAATTCACTCCAGGGTGGAGCCAGCCTCACAAAGCGCCGGATTGCCTAGCCATCAGAAGCCAGGTCCCGCAAAGAGCTGCAAGACTGAAGGACTTCAAAGCGGTAGATGTCAGCCAAAAAGTAAAAAGTCCACTGAAAAAGCTACTGCACCTGAGACACGACCCTCACTTATGGAACTTTCTCCCTTATTGTCTGCGTTGTCTTCCACTGTACCACCTCTGTCCCCTCTACATTCCGGCCAGTGTGTCAGTTCCAGATCCCACAGCAGTAAGATCGAAAAGCGTGGGCAAAGTAGCTCCCCGTCTCAGGAGCTCCCGACCAGCATACGCGGTAATGAAAACGAGGACACTTCGACCGCTACTGTAGCTGTCAATGCTCAGCTTTCCAACCAGACATTTCCCTCATCCTTATCAAAAACCAGTGCAATACAACAGAAACCCACTGCCTACGTTAGACCAATGGATGGCCAAGACCAGGCGCCAGACGAGTCCCCCGAACTCAAGCCACTGCCGGAGGAATACCAGGAACAGTCCTATGGGAAAATAACAAATTTAAAAACCAACGTCAAGACCAACTTGCCCAAATTGAAAATACCTGCGGAACCAATTGAGGTTGGTGTACTAGCTGTGTTCGGTTTGATTGTGCGTTGGCCTCAAAACCAAACACAATTATTTTTATAATTAACATCCAATCGTAGGCTGGGTATGGTCATGCGTTTTTAAGTAGGACGGTAATCAGAATTGAACATGCTCCATAGAAGTTCTCTTTATGGAGCTCTTTAAGATGAGAATCAGTTGCTACTCAGCCCTAGTGTGGCTCTATGCACTCAAGTAGTTCACCTTACCAAAGGATGCATAAACTTAGGAAAGACAGTAGTACTGATTGTTTCGTGTTTTTAATGGAGCATCTTCTTCCACCAGGAACCAAATATGGGATAGTTTGTCGTGGATTCTGGGACTTGTAGCCATAACCCTCAATAGGATAATATCTATATAATAGGTGTGTTCCTGCATCTGTTAAAACTGCCCCCACCAAACCGTTTGGGCACCAAGGACTGGTTCTGTAGAGAGAGGTTTTTCTGTGGACCGGGGGGGACGGACGGGCGTGGTTTCACATGCTGCTGGCATTCCATGGAGGGGGCTTCACTTACTTGCGCAGCCTAGTTTCTGGCATACCGTGGACTAGTGCCAGTCCACAGACCAGGAGTTGGGGGGGGGGGTGTTAAAGGATAAATTTTGACATATTTTAAATAAGGGCAAAATAGTGGCAGATGGCAATGTTTATTATAATTTTGTTTCCCAGAATTTAAAAAATTGTCATTTGAACAAGCACTGTTGTACAAGGTGGCCAGAATGTGATGCCAATTTTCACTCAAAAGTGTGTGTGTGTATATGTGTGTGTGGGTACTGATGTACTCATTTTTTCTTTTTTTGTGTTAGGTGGCATCTCTAGTAAATAGTAGGATTCAATTGGCTGTCAAGTTCAGGCATTATTATTGTTATATTGTCTATAAAGAGCNCAAGCCACTCCCACAAAGGAGGCCACACCCACAGAGTAGGTTCCAAAAGATTTTGAAACCCACCACTGGATTTAACCAGTGTAACACCCAGTTTGCTGAGCACACACAGTTCGTTTCAAAACTGCTCTGAAACTTACCTTCTATTGCAGCCCCGGTGAGTAAAACAGCTGAGCTGCAGCCGCGCCTATCAGCTGGGCTTCAAACAAAGGAAATATAGGACAGACTAGTGCAGGAGTGGGTGGGTGGAGCCAACAGGTCGCTGGAACTACCGGTTTGTGCGAACTGGTCCAAACCAGCTGAATCCCACCCCTGATTGGACTGTTTTATCAGCTTAACCTCAACATTATGGAATTATTATCAACAGGTATAACTATCAAGAAGGGGATAATGGAGGGCAGATCAATATGCAGAAATTTTACTTTGGGTAACTTTGACAATAAGGAATACACTTTACCTATTGGGAATAAAAAGGTGAGCTAAAATTATTTAATGGTAATTGCAATCTCTGTTTGCCATTACTGTTGATAATTCTGTAGAGTTACGCCTTCATGTAGGCACAATTTGATGCACAGAAAAGAAATGTATTAAAGCCGACTGCATTCATCAATACAATTTCAATCAGTAGAAATGGCTGTCGATATGAGCGGTATGGTGCCTTAGTGGTGAAGGCGCTCACCTCCCACTTGGAAGGTTGAGAGTTCAAACCTCGGTAACAGCAGATATTTCTCTCCTAGGATGCAAAGAACAAATATCTGCTGTGAACTCTGCTTGGCATCAGGAAGGGCATCTGGCCAGTAAATGCTCAGCTCCATCCAGTCACCTTAACTCTACCCCAAATTAAGGGATTACAGGATCGTGAAAAGTGAGGTTTTTTTTTAAAAGGGCTATAAATGGCACTACGGAATTGGCAAGAAGTCACTTCACTGTGTTGTAGTGAAAACATTCCGGATATCTACCCAGTATCTTAAGTATAGCATATAAATTTAATCTGACACCAACAATTTTAAACAACCATGTAATCCACTCTGTAGGATTAGGGTGAAGCTAGGACATGTGATCACCTTTCCCCTGGCCACCCCTAGCCTTTAATTACAATCTTAATTATAGATATGGTAATGTTACCAAATGTGATTAAGACCTGGGATTCCTTACTGATTAATTAACACCTAAAATTGGTAAACCGGCTTCCCTTTTCAGTCAAACTCAATTCTGCCAAACTATATGGACAACCCCCTTCCCTCCAAGCAACATTATGGAATTGGTTTTTTACTGCCTTTTCAAAAATGTAATATTAAAAAAAAACCTTTTCAGTCTAACTTAGGCTTTCGGTATTACCCATCCTGTTCATCTGAATCTGTTTAGTCTTTTGCTTCAAGATCAGTCAAGGTTGGCCAAAGGCTGCAGTATTAGCACCACTAGGTGTTGTAAATTAATATAGCTAAAAATATTGAAAGCAGAAGAAAAGTACAGATCAGATTGTGGTTCCCAGCGAACTGTGCCAGGTTTCTTACATAACCTTGTTTTTCCTGATATTGCATATCTGCCTTTTATTCTTATTGTGGATAGAGGGTTGATTTAAAGGATAAGGTTCACACATATATCAACATTCGGAGGCTTTTTCAATTAACTTGCTTGCACTGGAAATGATTGAAAAGGCTGCAGCTCCTTTCCCCCCTACCCCCTGCATGTAGTAAAACTGCACATTCAATCCAAGGATGGAAACCAAAAGAGGCCATTGTTTGGGGAACAGGATTTGTTGCAGCTTTCATGATCTCTGCAAGAAAAATGCTGACAAACCATGGCTTTTATGTTAGGGTAGGAGCTTAAGGAAACACTGAAATTTCATTATGGTTGATGAAAACTGAGCCTCTTTTCAGAGAACGATCCACCAACATTTTGCCATTTGTGGTCAACATTTGCATTGGGAGGAGAGCTGGAAAACCTGAACCCTGAAGGATATGTATGGAGGGAGAAGAGATGGAAGATGCCATAGGTCAGGGCTATCCTGCATGCTTTTTACCTGTGAAATAGCAATTGCACTTAGCACTTAGACTTAGGCACCGCTTCGTAGTGCCTTACAGCCCTCTCTAAGAAGTTTATAGAGTCAACATATTGCCCCCAACAATCTGGGTCCTCATTTTACTGACCTCGGAAGGATGGAAGGCTGAGTCAACCTTGAGCCTGGTGAGATCCGAACTGCAGGCTGCTGGCAGTCAGCAGAAGTAGGCTGCAGTACTGCATTCTAACCACTGCGCCACTGCAGCTCTAGTTGCTCCCCCCCCTTTAAAAAAAACTGTAATAGAATATCAATCAAGAGTAGAACTGGAAGTGACCTTGGAGGTCTTCTAGTCCAACCCTCTGGAGAGACTATACCAGAGGTGTCAAACT